TTGCTGGGTCATAGGGTAGTTCGATTTTTAATTTTTTGCGGAACCTCCATACCGTTTTCCAAAGTGGCTGCACCAGTTTGCATTCCCACCAACAGTACAACAGGGTTCCCCTTTCTCCGCATCCTCGCCAACATCTGTTGTTGCCTGAGTTGTTTATGTTGGCCATTCTGACAGGTGTGAGGTGGTATCTCATTGTGGTTTTGACTGGTATTTCCCTGATGATGAGCAATGTTAAAAATGAGACCTCATCTGTTGATTTTCTGCTCTGGAGGAGTGTGGCATGTGTACAACACGGCCATCCTCCCTCTGTGGGCCACATATTTAGATTCTTTTCTTCCCTCTTCTTCTTCCATCAGTGTAAGCAGTGTTATGCCGTCCTAGACTAGCCGTACGCTATCTTCAGTGGTAATAGTCCCTGTCCTTCAGTGAAACCGTACCTTTTCTTTCCCATTTCCAGTGTCCACCTTTTTCTACTTGATCATTTACTTTTGCACTGTCAGTGTTACCAACATGTAAATTCTGATCTTTAATGAAATTTATTTTCTTTGTTTGGTTTATAACTTGAATCTAACCACTGAAAGCCAATAACTAGCATTTGATTTTTAATGATTACATAAATGGCATTAACTGCAGAGCCTCTGGGTATACTCAGATTCTGGTTCCCTCTCTACCAGCCTGTTTGAAGAAAAGTGATCTGTTCCCTCTGAAGAAAACTGATGTCGGTCTCTAGATAGGTTGGTGTGAACACGTGAACCTGTTTTTGTTCATTAATAAAAAGACGTAGTTTTGAGAAAGCTTGATCTCTAAAATCATAGACTGTCAGAAACTTTGGTGCTGGAAGTCCTATTAGCGAGAACGGAACATCTCACTCTTGCCTGGAAGATGTGAATCATGGGTTTACTTTGATACAAAAAGCAGCTGAGGTATAAGCTTCAGATAAGGCATTGTTAGACACAAAAGTCCACGTTTATCTTAGCTTTATAGTTCCTAAGGACAGAGAACCTCAAGTTTGCTTCTTAGTCCAGTCTGATATTAACCACTTTACACACAGCCTGCTGTTCTTTAAGCCTCCAAATGCTCCAAACACTATCTACACTCCCCTTTCCCCCCAGTCTTACAGTATTGCCCTGTGTTCTCCTTTGGCAAAATTCTCCTTGATGCCTTTGATATATAGTCTCCCTTACTGCAGCAGTTTATTAAAACCTAGTTTTGTTGGACTGTAGGTGGGTCCCAAGTGGTCTTTATCAGAAGAATTTTATGGGGAATATCTTTTGTTACCATTCATAAATTGTTCATAATCATGCCACAGTTTAGTTGGATCACAACATATGCATTTTTGTTTTTCCTGGAGTTTTTAATTGTCTTTCTTTTTCTTATGAGGTACAACTCAATTTTGTCATTATTAACATCTAGCAAGACACATAAGTCATTTGAAATGGTGACTAAATGAACAGCTGTGACAAGTGATGACATCCACGTTATTGCCAACAGCATTTGGAAGGCATCGCGGATTGGGAGGCACATCTTGATTTCAGAGCTGTCAGTCGTGGAGGAATGGTGTTTCCAGGTCCAAGGAATATTGTCATTGCTTTGCAGCCTTGTGGGCAATGTTTGCCCTGGGATTTCTTTTCATTTTTTTCTGGGTTGGTCTTATTTCTCCTGGTCTTCCATGTCTTCCTCTTTCTTTCTCACTTTTACTTTGCTGGAGTATATTCTGAAATAACTTCCTCAGGATGGGTATGTGAGAGACAAACTTTCTGAGACCTTGATTAACATTTTGACTGTATATGGAATTGAAGGTTCAGAATACTTCATCATCCCAGCATCTTATAACAATCATCATTGCTGGTGATGCATCTAATGTGCTCTAATACCTGATTCCTTTTCTGTGTCTTCTCTACTGGATGTTTGGAGATTTTACGGTAATGGGCTTAGGTGTCCGTCTTTCTTCAGCCATTCTTCCCAACTGCCAGTGAAGCTTTTCCATCTTAGTATGTATGTCCATTTTTAGTTCTGGGAAAGAGAAGTGTAGGAAGCCTTTCACCTTAGTCACTCATTCACACATGGATTTGGAGGTCTCCTTCCCGTATTTGGCCCCCTTCTCACTCCCAGCTTGTGCTGAGCCAGAGCCTGCCATCTCTCTGACATTCTGTGGATGGTTTGCATCTTGGTCCTTTGCTGCAGCCTCTTCCCACGTAGACTGAGCTGTAGAGTTCTTGTTCTGCTCAATTTCCCACCTTCCAGAAATGTTTGAAGTGTTGTACCCTCTAATGGTTGCCCCTGCCACTCTTACTCGTTTGGTTTAATCCGATCCCTTTTATGGTCAGTCTGCCATCTTGAATCAGAGAACCTTCACTGCAAGCACTGAAAACATTTGGAATGGTTTGTATTTTTATATGCTTTGTAATCCCTTATTCTTTACCCTTACCCCTGGCCACATCCACCAAACTTTACCAAGTGTAAAAACCTAATATATTAGGCATTTTATTTATTTATTTATTTATTTATTTATTTATTTTTAATGTTTATTATTTTTGGGACAGAGAGAGACAGAGCATGAACGGGGGAGGGGCAGAGAGAGAGGGAGACACAGAATCGGAAACAGGCTCCAGGCTCCGAGCCATCAGCCCAGAGCCTGACGCGGGGCTCGAACTCACGGAGCGCGAGATTGTGACCTGGCTGAAGTCAGACGCTTAACCGACTGCGCCACCCAGGCGCCCCGATATATTAGGCATTTTAAAGTCACATCAGATGTCAGGCTTGTTTGGCCATTCCTGTAAAGAGAAGGATGCAGTTCACATCTTGACCCCAAAGCTGTGCTTTCCAGCAGGCCACCTATTTCAAAATGCCCTTTCCTGTCTGCCCCTTGGGCGTGACTTGGGGAGAGGTAAGGACATTCAGCAGTCTGGAATTCTGTCTCTTCAGTATTCCTTGATCCTTTGTAGCCTTCCTCTAGTTCAGGCCTTTGGCTTCCCCTCCCAAAACTAACGTATCGTTTTTCTTCCCAAGGACTCTCTTGGGACAGTGGCCAGTGCCCTGAAGGGACTTGAGGGAAACAGGTTTTCCTTTTTCTCTTTCTAACAGGGAAAAGGGGACTGAAACGTTCAGAGCCTCTGTCGTGATTCCCAGCAAGGACAAAGCTGCCTTCCTCCTCAGTTACGAAGAACTCTTGCAGAGGCGGCTGGGGAAGTATGAACACGTTATTAGCGTGCGGCCCCAGCAGCTGGTGGGGAGGCTGACGGTGGAAGTGAATGTTCTGGAGAGGTCCGGCATCACATCGCTGGAGGTGCTGCGGTTACAGCACAGTAGGCAGAAGGGCAGCGTGAGGGGGGAAGGTGAGTGTGGTTGCTGGCTTGGGGAAGGTGTTGGCTTTACAGAAGCCTATAAAACAGCTCCCCTTCAACAAAGGCTCTGAGAGTTTGTGGGAATCTGAAAGACAGCGAAGCAAAGGCAATGCCCTGTATGGGTTTTTTAATTTATTTGTTTTGGGAGAAAGAGAGAGAGCGTGTGTGCAAGCAGGGGAGGGTCAGAGAGAGAGGGAGAGAAAAAAATCCCAAGTAGGCTTTGTGCTGTCAGTGCAGAGCCCGATCACAAAATCGTGACCTGAGCCCAAATCAGGAGTCAGACACTTAACCAATTGAGCCACCCAGGCGCCCCCTCGTAGAGTATTTTTTTTTTTTCCTAAACCAGGGTTCTATCAGGAGACTTAAGTTTAAATCATTTGATACAGTAATCCTCACTTCTGGGCATCTAACCCAAGTGAAGCATCTAAAATATTGGGGATGTTACATGCATAACCCTGTTTATTTTCCTTATTTTTTAACATTTATTTATTTTTGAGAGAGAGACAGAGTGTGAGTGGGGGAGGGGCAGACAGAGAGGGAGACACAGAATCCGAAGCAGGCTCCAGGCTCTGAGCTGTCAGCACAGAGCCCGACGTGGGGTTTGAACCTACGAACCGTGAGATCACGACCTGAGCTGAAGTCAGTTGCTTAACTGATGAGCCACCCAGGGGTCCCTTTGCATAACCCTATTTGATAACATTTGTAGTAGCAAAAATGTTCTATCATCCTAAATATTCAACCATACAAACGTGATTAGTAAAATATGGTTATGAAAACAATTCAGCATGTGATTGGGGGGAAAAAGACGCATTTGTACACATTCTATAATGTTAAATGAGGGACGCCTGGGTACTTCAGTCAGCTGAGTGTCCAACTTTGGCTCAGGTCATGGTCTCACAGTTTGTGGGTTCGAGCCCCACATCAGGCTCTGTGCTGACAGCTCAGAGCCTGGAGACTGCTTCAGATTCTGTGTCTCCTTCTCTCTGCTCCTCCCCAGCTCATGCTCTCTGTCTCTCAAAAATAAATAAACATTAATTAAAATTAATTTTTAACTAATTATAATTTAAAAATTATGTTAAATGTGAAGTGGACAAAAGGCTAGAAAGTTATATAAAGTAATCATTTTATACTAGAGGATGAGGGATTCCATGGTTATTTTTCTAAAAATCCATTTTTGAAACATTAAACATATAACACTAACATAAACGTTTCAACAACGTGTGAGACTCTTTCTAAAATTAAGTAGTGGAAACTCTGTACTATACATTTGATTGAGGGCATGGGCATTTTGGTTCATAACCTGGACTTCTTAGTTTAGGTTTTTCTTAAAATCTGATTTTTAAAATAGCACCCTGTTTGTTGAAATGATAATGATAAATTCAGTATAATATAATTTTAATTACAGTAATTTCAGCTGAGAGTTTACATGTAAATGTTCACTTGTTTTTCTTATACCACTTTTTGTTTTATTTTTACTTATGTATTTATTTTTATTTAAATTTTTTGAATGTTTATTTACTTCTGAGAGAGAGAGAGAGAGAGACAGAGTGTGAGTAGGGGAGGGGCAGAGAGAAAGGGGGACACAGAATCCGAAGCAGGCTCCGGGCTCTGAGCTGTCAGCACAGAGCCTGATGTGGGACTCGAACCCATGAACCGTGAGATCATGACCTGAGCCGAAGTCGGACACTTAACCGACTGAGCCACCCAGGCACCCCATTATACCTCTTTTTGTCTTAAATGTTTGTTTTTGAGAGAGAGAGAGACAGAGAACGCATGTGCATCTGTGCACACGTGAACCAGGGAGGGGGTGAGAGGGGGGGTGGAGAGAGAGAGAATCCCAAGCAGGCTCCATGCTGTGAGCTCAGCGCCTGATGTGGGGCTCAATCCCACAAACCGTTGAGATCGTGACCTGAGCCGAAACCAAGAGGTGAATGCTTAACCGACGGAACCACCCAGGAGCCCCTAAATGTTCACCTGTGTTGGGCTGTGCTGTAAGCAGACCAGTAAGCCTTCGTGTCAAGTCAGATAACGAGGCAGATGTGCTAGAAAGCTGCACAGGGCTGGGAATCTCTAGATTTCAGTATTTGTGATGTTGAGGCCTAGAAAATGCTTTGTCTCCTTATGGTATTTAACTCAATGCCTTTTAAACTGTAGATAGCTAATTAAGTGCTTGCCAGTGAGGAAAGAAGAACGAATATATACCAAAGCTAGTAAAGAATGTTTTAAAATTTCATTTTTTCCTAATCATAACTTATAGGGAAATTCTCCTATGTACTGCTGTGTGAAGGAGGTATGTTTTCAGGAGAAGGAAAATTCTTTAGGAGTTGCTGGGGTCTCAGAGAGGGCGGAGCCACCATGTGGAGGGGCTCGTTGGAGATGCTGGGGTAGTCCTGCTGCGGTAATGAAATGTGTGCACTTTGCCGAATTTCCAGAACCGCTGTGACTCTTTAGTGTGTGAATTGTGGCATGCATGTGTTATCTGTGGAGGCCATATGGATTAGGATTGTTAGTCAAGAAAGTTGCTTACTGTTTATATTCTGGGCCTGTGAGAACCTCAGAGGAGTTTTTCCAGACCATTGATCTCTTGGGACCTGTTTATTTTTAAGAAAGTTGTTTTCCTAGCTTTTTGTACCAAAGCGGATATTTTGCCTTCCAAAGCATGGAGATTTCACAAGCACGTATCCAAGCCAGGTGCAGTGGACCAGTTCCCTTTTGGCTCCTCGTTCCCATCCTTCCGAGCTCAGCTGTTACAGTCCCTGCAAAATGGCGGCCCCGACATGGAAATGCGCAGGATGTTGTGATATTTGTCTGGACCTTATTGCGTGTCACCCAAAGAAATCCAGGGTAGAGATCAAACTAGAATTGGGCTTGCCCCAGAACATGAGCTGTAACTGTGTGAATGTGGACCCGAGCCAGTACATTCCTCTGATAGATCTGGCTGCCGTGAAGAGGTCAGACTTCTGGAATTTCTCAAAGCAAATCTGTGACCACTGGACCCGTTTGCATCCTTGGGGATACACTTCTGGATTGGGATGACTGCGTGCTTGATCCTAGACTCAGCACTTGCGTGCGCTATCTCATTCAACCTTCACAACAACCCTCTTGTGTTGTATTTTTTATCCCATTTTATTTCTGAAAAAGGCTTACAGAGTTTATAATACGAACAAGGACTCATATTTAATTACTGTTAGAAACAGAATCTCTAGGCATAGAGCTGACTCCCAACTTCATGCCCTTGCCCTCTGAACTGTACTGCCTCCTTAGTAAATAGAAATGGCAAAATACTGAGGGTCTGAGCTCAAATTCCAGATGGCTCCCCAGTTATGTAAGAAGAAAAAGAAAGGCTCAAAGCAGTACAACCTATCTTGGCCTCGGTTTCATTGTCTCATATATCAGGTATGTCAGGATTGGGCCCATAGCTAGTGTTCCTTCTCAGTGTAAAAACGAATCTTGTGAGATGTAATTTGGAAGCCAAGGCATCACACTTACTGGATTATTAAAGTAGAGTGAACTGTATGTGGTTCAAAGTCTAAAAGATTATAAATTGGTTTACAGTGAAAGACAAGACTTCCTCTCTTATGCCTCCCACCCGCAGTTTCTCCTCCCCTAAAATATTTTGATGGTTTATGAGCTCAGTGGGAAAGAGTCTTTGAAACTGAGACTTCTCCTGGAGCATGATGGGATGTGTGATGTTCCGAAGGCACACGCCAAGATGGATATTCTGTGTATGTGGCTTGTTCGAGTCTGGTTATTTCACTTTCTGTGTTAAACCCAAACTTCCTATTGTCCCATGACACCTAAATTACTGCCCTTTCCATGATTCCAATTTTTTTTTTTTTCAGAAAATTTTTATTTATGATAAGATCCCTGATAGTGGGGAGTAAAACAGAATGAGATAAACAAAGTGAGAAATAGGGTAGCTTGCCTGTTTTATTCCCTTTTGCTTTACATCAATGACCCTCAAACCTGGCTCTACCCTTTAATCACCTGGAGAGGTTAAAAAAACCCAAAAAACATAGAGATGACTGAGCCCTGCCTTAAGCACCTGAATCAGAATTTACCAGGGTGAGCCCTAGGTGGCTGGATTTCTGGGTGTGGTAGCTTTACAAATTTATACGAGAAGCCAAACAACATAGGAGTGCTTTTAACGTGTTCGTTTAGTTGTAAAGCTAAAGAATGAGGCTGCGTATGTTTCTACCACGGAACGGGTCTGGTTCTGTGACTTCCATGGTTTCCCCTTTATCTTGTTTACTTTTTTAACAAGCAGTCTCATTGAGGTTTTAGTTTATATAGCATAAAATTTGGTCATTGTACGTGTACGACTCGTAGATTTTTAGTTTTTGCAGGGTTGTGCAACCATCACCACCATCCAATTTTAGAACACTTCTTTCGCCCAGAAAGATCCACGTATCTGCAGTCACTCCCTGTTTCCGCCCCAGCCCCAGGCAGCCGCTAATCTACGTGCTGTGTGTCTTCAGACAGCTGTACTTTCAGAAGCAGCCCAGGTGATTTTGATGCTCTGCAAATGTTAGGAACCCTTACTTTGAACTTACTAGCAGACTTCAGGAACATTCGTTTGGTCAAGATCTTGACCTACAGAAACACCTTTGAAAATAAGTAAGATTGTTCTTGTACTTTCACGGGACCCTCAGCACACTCTGACTTTTGACCCTTACTAAAATGTGCATCGTCCCTCGTTTCCACTAACATGTTTTTACTGTTGGATACAGGCCAACATAGGATTACTCACACAGTTGGTGGAAAATAACCTCTTTCCATAAGCAGTTTCTTCTGCTCATCAACATAGCTGGAAATGGAAAAGTACCAACAAGCCAATGGGTTGGTGCAGTCTTTCTAGGATAGTCTTGAGCTTATTAAACTGGGTAGCCCATCTTCTCTTGGAAAAGACAAACGTGATCATTCAGTGCATTGGCGGGCAGGGGTGGGGGGGAGTCAAAAGAGCTTCTCTCCTTTCCTTGATTCCTACTGTG